GGGGTGGGGTGGGGTGAGGGTGGGGGGTGGGGTGGGGTGAGGTGGCTCGCTGAGTCGCGTACCGACCGAGTATCCTCTGCTCCTCCTTCTCTGCGCGTTTTCTCAGTGTCTCCTCGTTGCCCTTGGAAAGGGTCAATGTGTTCTGCATGGCATGGCGGTGTGGAAGAAAGAAACACCCACATGGACCTGAGTGAGTGGTGCATCCCTCTGTGTGTCTCTCTGTATGTGTGTGTGTGTGTGTCTGTGTGGTACCTCAACGATGACACCGACCACAATGTTGAGAAGGCCGAATGTGGTGACCATGAGGAAGAAAATGAAAAAGAGGGAGAACAGCGGGTCCTTCTCCATCACGGGACGCTGCGCACATCCATCCATCCATCCGGATCCACACACAACACAACACACCTAACTAACCAACACACGTGTCAGTCAGTCAGCTCACTGAGATGTCGTTGCTCCATCCGTCAAGCGTGAGGGCCGTGAACAGCGTGAACATGCTGCGGGGAACTGCAGAGAGAGATGCGTCACACACACCAACAGGCATCGCATGCAAGGAGGCCACGCACACACAGACACACACACATTGCTGACTGACTGACTGACCGTATCCGAAGAGGTCGTCCAGGTAGGCGTTGTTGCTCTCCCTGGCAGGCTGGCCCAGCTGATGGATGCATGGATGGATGGATGGAGGGAGGGCAACCACACACACACACAGAGACACATCTTACCATCATTGTGGTCAATATAGCGCAGATGTAGATGAAGAGGAACAGCAGCAGCGTCACCCTGACCCGTTCATTCACAACAGAGGGAACAGAGGCACAAGACACCAATGCCGGCCGGCATCACACAAGCATCCCTCGTCTGTCTGACCATCCGAGCGTCGACAACGACTTGACAAACCCCTCCACAATCAGCCCTGCACCCTCGCACACACACACGTGTCCACCAACACACACACACACACATCCCCCTTCCCCTCTCTCCTCGCCGCCTACACAGCTCTTTGAAGACCCGCAGCAGCCGCACCAGCCTCACCAGCCGCAGCATCCTCGCGATTCTCAATGTGCTCAAGAGACGCAGGTTGACCTTGCCCCCCTCCTCTGAGCTGTTCACCGCCCGCACCGTCTCCATCACCCAAGTGTCCAGCACGGCCAGGGTGACCAGAGTGAAGTCCAAGAGGTTCCAGCCGTCCTGGAAGTAACTCATTCTCTCGAAGTAGAGGCGGGAACACATCTCGAAGACATAGACGAGGAGGAAGCAGTTCTGCAGACAGACAGAGAGACATACAGACAGGCAGAGAGGGGCGATGGATCGATCATTCAGAGGGCCGCTTACCTCGATGAAGTACCACTCTAGTCTGTCCTGGAGCTTCACGTTCTCGGGCATGTAGTCTGCAATGATGCAGGCACACACACACACGCACAAGCGACCTGGCATGGCCCTCGTGCGTGTCTCTCTCTCTCGACTGGCTGACCAATCTGTACGCCCATGAAGATGGCATTCAACAGGATGACGCCGCCGATGCACTGACCGACCAATGCAATGGACACACACACATCGCATCACACATTATTACGTTCACGGCACTCATCAATGTCCCCCCACTCCCTCACTCACCAGCTTGAAGCGTGTCGTGTGCACAAAGGGCACATCCACTGCAATCAGTGAAGCATCATCGCCATGCCAATGGCATTATGTAATTGCGTGGCATGTGTGTGCTCGCCCTCCCCTCCCCTCCCACCATCACCCACTCAGTGACACTCACCTTTGAGTGACTCGCTGGATTTGAGCGAGAGCGCCTGAGATTGTTCCTCATCCCCACGTCTGAGTTTGCTCTCGCTCCACTGCCTCTGCAGACGGTGCTGCACCGCTGCTCCACTGCCTCTGCAGACGGTGCTGCACCGCTGCACTGCGCACAAACATACTGCTTGCGTTCGTTGAGCAAGGGAAACTCCACCTCGCCTTGAAGTGCCCGTTTGGCGAGTTCCGGGAGCTCGCTCTACCTCACACCCACCCACTAGCATCAGCCGTCATGCTTTCCTTTGTGCGTCAGGGAGCGTTGCAGGCGCGTCGGCAGGCAGCGACCTGCCTGCCCGCATCGCGGCTGCTGGCTCCAGTGGCTGTGGCGACTCGTGGCATGGCCGACCACGGCCCCACAGAGAAGATGAACCTCTTCACAGCCGTCAACGGGGCGCTGCACATCGCCATGGAGACCGACCCCACGTAGGCGACGACAACACAGCGAGAAAAGGGTGCATTTGTTGGTCATTTGTGTGTTCGTGTGTGTGTTGTCTGTCTGTGTGTGGGGTGCAGGGCGTGTGTGTTTGGAGAGGACGTGGCCTTTGGCGGGGTGTTTCGGTGTTCCATTGACTTGAGGGAGAAGTTCGGCCCACACAGAGTCTTCAACACGCCGCTCTCAGAACAGGTAGGTGTGAAGTGAAATGTACTCTCTGTGTGTGTGATGCTTACTTAGACTGCCTCACCACGGGTGTGCGTCTGTGTGTGTGCTGCAGGGTATAGCGGGGTTTGCGATAGGGATGGCTGCCGTCGGCCACACGGCCATCGCCGAGATGCAGTTCGCCGACTACATCTTCCCAGCATTCGACCAGGTGAGAGTGACTGATATGCTCATCCGTCCATCCATCTTGGTCTCTCTCTCTCTCTGCGTGTGCCAACGTATATATATGTGTGTGTGTGTGTGTGTGTAGCTGGTGAATGAGGCGGCCAAGTTCCGTTACCGTGCTGGTGGTGTGTGGGACTGCGGCGGCCTGACCGTCAGATCGGCATGGGGCGCCGTCGGCCACGGAGGGCACTACCACTCACAAGTACATCTAATCAGCTATGGAGGGACGTGCCCGTATGTCGTGTCCGTGTGTATCCCTGTGTCACTCAGTGTCCCGAGGCCTACTTCGCCCACACGCCAGGTCTCAAGGTGGTGGTGCCCCGCGGGCCCTACCAGGCCAAAGGACTCCTCCTCTCATGCATCAGAGGTAGGTACCTACCCACCTACCTGGCTGAGCTGCCTCAATCAACCACTCACTCACTCAACGACTCTCTCTAGACAAGACACCCACCTGTGGCTGTGTGGCTGTGTGGCTGTGCTGTGTGGGTGTGTTGGTGGCATCCATCGATGCATCGTCCTATCTGATCAGACCGCAATCCCTGTGTGTTCTTCGAGCCGAAGGCGTTGTATCGCGCGGCGGTCGACCAGGTGCCTGTGGGCGACTACAACCTGCCGCTCTCAAAGGCCGATGTCGTCCAGGAGGGAGACGACGTAAGCGCGCAAGCCGCACAGACAGACAGACAGACACGCACCGGAGAATGGATGGATGGATGGATGTGTGTGTGTGTGTCAGATAACCTGTGTGGGGTGGGGCACCCAGGTGCACCGAATGCTCAAGGCTGCTGAGATGGCCAAGGAGGAGGGCATCAGCTGCGAAATCATCGACCTGCAAACCATACTGCCATGGGACGTGGTACGCACACATCTCTGTCTGTCTGTCTGTCTGTATGCCACCGTGGCCATTCACACACACTGACACCATGTCGCCATTTTGTTGGTTGGTTGGTTCAGCACACGATAGAGGAGTCCGTCAAGAAGACCGGCCGCCTTCTCGTCACGCATGAGGCGCCGGTGAGTGCGTTCGTGCAGGAGTGAGAGAGATGCGCACGCTCAGCTGTTGATTCGCTGCGCTTCTATGTGACCGAATCGATCGATCAGCTGACACAGGGTTTCGGGGCTGAGATCGCCGCGAGCATCACGGAGCGGTGCTTCTTCAGCCTGGTGGGTGTGGGGTGTGGTGTCCACGCTCAGCTCGTCCCTCCCTCCCTGGCTGCGCACGTGGCGGGACTGTCTGTCTGTCTGTCTGTCTGGTGTGTGTGCAGGAGGCGCCGATCAAGCGCGTGTGCGGTTACGACGTGCCCTTTCCCCTGATATACGAGAAGGTAGGTCAGCGGCTGACTGCATCGCACGCACAGACACGGACACAGCCGCCGCCAAAACAGTGCACTCGCAACGCACACACACGTGTGTGTCAATGTGTGACGTCAGTTCTACCTGCCTGACGAGTACAAGATCTTTGAGGGCATCAAGGAGGTCTGTGCGTGACTGACTGACTGCTGACACCCCGACTGCTGGCATACATGCCGATGACATACTTACTGGCTCAAGACAGTGCGAGAGGGAGGG